AACACAGCAATGATAGTACAAACTTCATATTCTTTGTATTCTGAAATATCTGGTTTCTTACTAAAGAAAGAATGAAAAAGGATGCTTTTTCATTCAAGCTGAAATCCTTTAATCACATAACTGGAAATAAGACTCAATTAACTCAGTGTATTCTGAGCAGATACATAAAATGTATTCGAACAGGGAATGAGAAGCCTGTTGAGGCATTGCAGTCTACTAATAACTGGTAAGTCATATCCTTCCTTCTCCTACAGTAAAATGATGATATGCAATGCAAATCTTCTCAAGAGTAAATCCCGTTGTGTTAAAAAGAGATTGGTCCATAGCCAAGTATATTTTGGGTTACTTAGGCCAACTCTATGGAACACTGACCCGCTTAATGAAAGTAGGGGAACCCTATGGTTCACAGGGAGGATGTGAACTTCAGGCTTCCCCATCTGCATTGCCAGCTTTTTTGGGTTTACACATCCACATCCAAGTCACCAGCCCAACCACTTTTCCTGCTGATTTTCTGTACAGCAAACTAATTTTGTCACTATGTAGCAGCTAGTAACTCTGAATAGCTTAATGAGATTAAGTACTTTTCATAAATTCTGATGTGAGCCACAGTGGCACAGTGGGTTAAACCCTTGCGCCAACTGAACTGCTGACCTGAAGATTGGAGGTTCAAATCCATGAGATGGAGTGAGCTCCCATCTGTCAGCTCCAGCTAGGGACAGGATAGAAACCTCCCACAGGATAGTAACACATCTGGGTGTCCCCTGGGCAACATCTCTGCATATGGCCAATTCTCTCACACCAGAAGCGACTTGCAGCTTTTTAAGTTGCTTCTGATACAATTTTAAAATACAAACAAATTCTGACTGCACATGTTTGCATTTCAGTCATTGGTGAAGTTGGCTTATTCTCATCGAATCCTTAGTTCAACCCAGGTAAACTTCATATGCCAAATGTATACATCTCTGCACCTCTAAATATCCTATACCACTATCACAGCCCAAAGACAGGGACTTTGGAAGCAACAAGAAACAAGATCCAATACCAAATTATGATTTAATAAAGACACAGCATAATAAAGATTGTGACGCAGCAGTTTGAGCATAAGATTTGAACTCTGTGAGACCAGAGTTGGAATTCCCAATAAGTCATGGAAATCCACTATGTGACCTTGGACAAGTCACACTCTTTTATTTATTTATTTATTTATTTTGCTTCTATACCGCTGTTCTCAGCCCGAAGGCGACTCACAGCGGTTCACAACAATAAAAGACAGCAGAAATTCAATGTACAATACAAAAACAATTAACAGTCTAATCCTTTACACAATTAGTAACAGTAAACAGTCAACAGTTTAGCCTAAGAGAAAGGCAATGACAAACCTCCCAAGATTAAAACTTGCCAAGAAAACTTTAGGATAGAATCAGAGTTGACTTGAAGGCACATGAGACATAGAATGTATCTATACTGTAGAATTAATGCACATTTATAGCACTTTAACTGCCACTGTGTAATATAACACTTTGTGTATAAAGCATATGAATATTACAGATCTGAAAAATGTTTACAATAATTACGAAGCCATTTTAACATTTTTTTCAACTACAAACAAAAATAATTTTGACAACTTATCTTAAATAGATAAATAATTATTTTGACTAATACACATCCTTTGGAATAAATAAAACAAGAAGCTCCAAATCACATAACAGCATTAAAAGCGTGCTTATATTCTGTGCTGCATGGGAGTTGAGCAGCATTATTATCTTTTTAACAGGATGACCAGGATCAATGCAAATACGAATTCACTCTTTAATGAAATGAACAACAGCAACATTTTAATTCATTCTTTTCATCAAGGAGCTCAAGGTGGCAAACAAAAGACACCCATTTTAAACAAAACTGTTTGGGGGGAAAATACTATGGCTAGCCAAAAGGCAAGACCAACCCACCCGTTTGTCTATAGACATAGATGCCTTGAGAGGCACATCAAATTGGACATTTCAAGGACTAAGGTTTACAAGATAGTCAAGACATCAGACTTCTAAAAGTGCCCATAGGGTCAGGCAATGAGGAATAAATGCAGAAGAAAACAAATAAAAATAAGCAGTCACTGATATATGATAGCCTTAAGGACCCTCCAAGGCCTATTTAGCTGACCAATGAATATAGCAATTATGTGACAGTCTCCACAAATCCCCATTCAAAGGTGCCATTTAAAAGGTCAAAGTCATGCACAATGAAATCCCACTGATTTCAAGTTGGAAAGCAAAACACTTTTCTGCTTGCCTACTCAGAAGTAATTGTTCCTGAGCTCAATTGAACTGACTCACAGAGTTTGTTAAGTGAGTTTTGTCTATTGCTTAATTTGGCTTTAGTGGTGTCCTTAGAAGCCTTGATCATTTTTTAGAAGTGGAAAGGCAGACTAGAAATGCAAGAAATAAATCAATTAAAAACACTGAGGAACCATACACACTCAGTCTCAAGAAGCTGCTGGGATTTATTTCTGAGTAAACATGCAAGGGATTGAGCAGTATCTCTCTCTCTCTCATTTCAACCAGCACTACTTAAGAATGCTTTCTAGAAAAGACAAACACAAATTCCAATTTGGACACAATGAGCTGAGGCAAAGGGGATTTGGCTTTTGCAAAAAGAGAGCCCTACAAAGGTTTGCAAACCTATTCACATTTTAACAAAGGATGTGGCTAAATCTTGTTTGGTGGTGAGATAAAACAAGGCATCAAAGAAGAACAGCCCAAATCTTCAGGTTAGAGATCCATTCCACAAGAAAGGCCTATTAACAGTTTGTTATTGGGAGGCTAACATGAGGAGTTGGCTCCCTGGGAGAAACTGACCCAAGATCTGGTTCCAGGTTTTCTGTTTATCCCAGATTATCTGGCAGTGCAGACTCATATGATCCAGTTTAAAGCAGAAAAGGTGGGCTCAGATCATGGGATATAGGGCCTGTCTGGAAGTTCCCAAAACCATCCAGAAACCATTTACTCCTACAGTCAGATCTTCAAAGGATGCATCTACACACTGTAGAATGAATCCAGTTTGACTACAATGGCTCAATGCTATGGAATCATGGGAGCTGTAGTTCACAAGGCTTTTATGCCCCTTCCACGCAGCTGAATAAAATCCCACATTTTCTGCTTTGAACTGGAATATATGGCAGTGCGGACTCAGATAACCCAGTTCAAAGCAGATAGTTTGGGATTTCCTGCCTTAATATTCTGGGTTATATGGCTGTATGAAAGGGCCCTTAGCCCCCTCTGTCAAATTTTTTGGAACCTCACCAAACTACAATGCCCAGGTTTCCACAGCATTGTTATGGCACAGTTTAAGTGGTGTCAAACTGTATTAATTATACTGTGTAAATGCACCCAAAGTCACTTGAGAAAGTAAGTTGTTCCACCTCCTGTAGCAAATCTTGGGTCCCTTCCACAAGGCTGATTAAAATCCCACATTATCTGCTTTGAACTGGAATATATGGCAATGTGGACTCAAATAACCCATTTCAAAACAGATATTGTGGGATTTTCTGCCTTGATATTCTGGGTTATATGGATGTATGGAACAGCTCTTGGAAATGATATGGAGCCCTGAGAAAGTATTGCTCTGGACTGTAACTCCACATGCAGGCTGTAGGAGTTGTCCTCCAAAATATACCCTTTCCAAGCTTTTTCTTTTTCTTTTTCTTTTTTTTTTTTTGGGGGGGGGGAGATATTTCCATTCCTTGGGCACAAACTGAGTGCTTTATCAGCATAATTCCCTGGCAAATTACAGCTTTGGTGAATTTTAGAAGGTTTTCTCAAAAACCCACTTTTTACAATCACTCAATTCAATCAGTCCCCCCCCCCCTAAAAATGACAGCTGGGGTGATGGAAGTTCACCTCCAGCCAAACATTCTCTGGAGGGGGGATGGAAGGATAGGCTGGGAGGGGGACAAGGAGCTGTCCAAAGGGGGGCGGGGGCAGGGGAATTCAACTGGAAAGAATTGGGGGAAGAGAGGATGAAAAGGCCAAAGAGTTGCCAGCTGCCTATAGGATCGCTCTGAAAGTCTAATTTTGCCGCAGCCCCCTTCTGGCAAGAACCTCGAGTGGGCCTCGAACAAAAGATTCCAGCTTTCCATCTATAATCTCTTTCTCTTTCTACCTATCTGTGAAAGAGAACACATTTCATGTAACTAGTAGCTTCACGTAACGAAATATTAAATTTCAAAACCAAGGAAGAAAGTTATATCCTACTCCTTTCCAAAGAGTGGGCCATGGGATTAGAAGCCTGTAGCACAAACCTGTGCCTGTTTATTCAACCATTGACTTTGATGAGACTAATCCTTAGATGTGGACTTGGTAGGGCTAAACGAGGCATGGGCAAGCTTCGGCCCTCCAGGTGTTTTGGACTTCAACTCCCACAATTCCTAACAGCCTCAGGCCCTTTCTTTTTGCCCCTCAGTCACTTAAGTGGAAAAGGAAATGGAAAGGGTCTGACGCTGTTAGGAATTGTGGGAGTTGAAGTCCAAAACCTCTGGAGGGCCAACGTTTGTCCATGCCTTGTTTAGCCCTACCAATCCAAAACACCCAGAGGGCCAAAGTTTGCACATGCCTGGTTTAACTGCATTGAACGGCATAATAGGGCGGTATTGATGGGTCCCCAGGGCCCTAGAAGCTTGGCCTGGGTTTCCAGGAACTCAAGTCCAGACCTGCTAGAGGACCAAAGTTTACAGGAGAACTTGGACTGAGAATTCTCAAGTTCCCCCATGCAGTGCAAATCCCAGCATCATGTAGTATGGAATTGTGATAGTGAAATGGAATTGTGGAATCATTATCATTATATTTTGCTGAAGGCCCCAGTTCCTGTTGAGACAATGCCCAGAAAGGGGGCCCTACAGGCCTTGAGTGCACCTGCTTATTTCATTGCAGCAGAACCACTTAGTTCTCCCAAGGACCTCCTGCCCTCTCTCCCTTCCTCTTCCCTCCTTGACCCCCAGTGGCTCTTACCTGGCTGTACTTGGCTTCTTGCTCCAGGGAGCCTTTGTCCAGGCCATTCACCGCCATGTGTTGAGCCGTGGCTGCGAACCCGCTTCTGCTGAGGCTGCTGCTCCATTCCTCGATCTTGGGGCTGTGGTATGGAGAGCTCTCGCTCACTGCAGGCAAATAGGAGGAGGGGAGATGAATGAAGAATAGGCAAGGAGTGGCAGGAGGACCGGTTTCTACAGAAGTCAAGCTCCCAGTGGAAAGAAAACTTGGGGCACATCTAGACTACAAGAAAGGAGATTCCATCTGAACATTAGGAAGAAGTTCCTGACTGTGAGAGCTGTTCAGCAGTGGAACTGTCTGCCCCAGAGTGTGGTGGAGGCTCGTTCTTTGGAGTCTTTTAAAAAGAGGCTGGATGGCCATCTGTTGGGGGTGCTTTGAATGTAATTTTTGGCAAAACTATGATAGCTGGGACCCAATGCAGGTAGTGCTATGCGAGTTGCGTAATGCGGCTCTAAATTAGAGAAGGGAACATGTGCACCAGACACAGAACCACATGCACGAGAGACCGCACACAGTGAGAGATGCAGCTACGACAGAGTCGACAAGGTAGTTCGGTAGAAGGGGGGGCAGCCAACCAGACTGATGTAAGCTATCCGGAGATCCTATGCAAAGTAGTTCAGTAGAAGGGGTAAATCCTATGCAAGGTAGTTCAGTAGAAATCCAGTCACTCTTACATTACTTCACTGTTATCCTGTCCCATCTGAGTTATATTACTTCACTGGTATCCTGCCACAGCTGCATCTCTCACATGGTGTGCTGTCTCGTGCAGTGTTCCCTTCTCTAATTCAGAGCCACATTGCGCAAACAGCATAGTGCTACCAACACTGGGTCCCAGCTATCGTACTTTTGCCATGATTTTCCTGCTTCTTGGCAGGGGGTTGGACTGGATGGCCCATGAGATCTCTTCCAACTCTATAATTCTATTAATCCCAAATTTCTCCATCAGAGTGAAGCCGTGGATGCTGCTTCCATTTGGAGGCCGGCATCTGCATCGATAAGGCAGGCCTGGGCAAACATGGGTGCTTTGGACTTTAACTCCCAGCAAAAGTATGATAGCTGGGACCCAGTGCTAGTAGCGCTATGCTGGTTGCATAACACAGCTCTGAATTAGAGAAGGAAATACGTGCGCCAGACAGCATACCGAGTTAGAGATGCAATTGCGGCAGGATACCAGTAAAGTAATGTAACGCAGGTGGGAGAGGATAACAGTGAAGTAATGTAAGAGTGACTGGATTTCATTCATTTTTCACCACTGCTCATTTTTATCCCCTCCTTTCTATCCTTCCTTGAACATATTTGCATACGATGTCTGGATAGCCTACATCACTATGCTTGGCTGTTACCCCTCCCCCTTTCTACCAAACAACCTTGCCTAGCATCTCCAGATAGCCTACATCAGTATGCTTGCCTGTTCACCCCTCCCTCTACCTTGTTGACTCTGTCATAGATGCGTCCCTCACTGCGTACAGTCATGCATGTGCTGCTGTGTCTGGCGCACATGTTCCCGTCTCTAATTCAGAGCCACGTTATGCAACTAGCATAGCGCTACCAGCACTGGGTCCCAGCTATCATACTTTTGCCCAACTCCCACAGTTACTAACAGGCTCAGGCCCTTTTCTTTTAAGCAGTGGGGGAGGAGAGGGGGAAAACAGGGCCTGAGGCTGTTAGAAATTGTGGAAGTTGAAGTCCAAAACACCTTGAGGGCTGAAGTTTGCCCATGCCTGATCTAAGGCCTCCAACCAGTCTGAGGGCTTCACATGTGACATGAATTAAATCACTCCTTTCTTTGCAGGTTTCACACCAACCTAAGTGGTTAATGATGGGAATCAGAGCTGTTAGGCTCAAAGATAACCTTCACTTGGGGTGATTCCACAAAATATAGCAGAGTGCCAGAAACACAGTCCATAACCAGCAGAAGCTTACATGAAGTGAGCAAGGATTCATCTCCATTCAACAGGATGGAACAGGATTGCAGGAGCCACAACTTCATAGATTCTAAAATAACATGTTTATTAAAGTCAAAAGAAATCCATTCTGGATAGAAAAAGTTCTTGGAAGGGACTACCTTACTAAGCTATCTTCTAATAAAAATAGAGGATAAAAATAAGGAAATATCCATGCAGACTGACCACATGGCCAAAACAGGGCAATTAAGCCAGGGCAAGCAAAATACCTTTAAAGAGGAAGTTATTTCATCCCTCACAGATATCACATTGCTACCACATTGTCTTCTCCTATGAAAAGAAGAGTGGGTCCCCAGATGTTTTCGCCTTCAACTCACAGAAATCTTAACAGCCGGTAAACTGGCTGGGATTTCTGGGAGTTGTAGGCCAAAACACCTGGGGATCCACAGGTTGAGAACCAATGGTCTAGACTACTTGAAGGACTCTCTCTCCTTCTCCCTGTTTCAAAACTAAGGTCATGCAGAGAGCCTCCCTCCTCCCTTCCTGGACTCTTTTGGTGGGAACATGCAGAAGGGCACAACATTTCAAATTTCTGGGTTGCTGTGAGTTTTCTGGTCTGTATGGCCATGTTCCAGAAGCATTCTCTCCTGATGTTTCATCCACATCGATGGCAGGCATCCTCAGAAGTTGTGAGGTCTGTTGGAAACTAGGGAAGTGAGGTTTATATATCTGTGGAATGCCCAAGATGGGAGAGAGAACCTTTGTCTGTTTGAGACAAGTGTGAATGTTGCAGTTGGCTGCCTTGATTAGCATTGAATAGTCTTGCAGCCTCAAAGCCCAGCTGCTTCCTGTCTAGGAGAATCCTTTGTTGGGAGGTATTAGCTCGCTCTGATTGTTTCCTGTCTGGAATTCCCCTGGGTTATTTTTTAGTGTTGTTCTTTATTTAGTGTCCTGTTTTTAGAGTTGTTTTATACAAAATTCTTGGTTCATGTTCCCATTTTACTGGGCTTTGAGGAATGTATTGCCCTAGATTTGTGCTTTTTAAAAAAAACACAAAAATATATTATGTCTTTTAATAACCTTTAATGGATTTTTTAAACGATAGATTGTTTTTATAGCTACAGACTGCTTTAAAACACACGGCTAGATACAGCACGGTGTAGTAATGGTTTGAACATTGAATTCTGTAGACTCTGGTTGGGAGACCATGGAACCCGTAAATGAACAAAACAATAATACATTATAACAATAATTTCCCCCTTACTTGGAAGTTTTTGTTTTGTTTTGTTTTTTGGCTTTGGAGTGAACTACTTTTCTTTTCTAAAATGATTTTATTTAAACTGCAGTACTCATGTCTGGCAGATTAATTCTTCCTCTTCGCAGTTGCCTAGTGGTAAATCCTTTTGAACTCTGCGAGACTGTCCTTTCAAGGAAACCGGTTCAGGACCGCCGTGTAAACGAGCGATGGGTGCGGTCTGGGTCTAAAAGTATCCAGGGAAAGCCATGCATTGGGTCTGAAATCCTTTCTTCTTGGGAGGGAAGGCTGCGAAACTCATCAAGTGGCCTTGACCCGGATAAAAACAGGTGTTCCTGCCTCAAAACATTGCCTCGATCCGAAAGGCTTGCTGGCAGCGGACTTGCTCCCGTCCGGAGACCACATTCACACGTGCAGCTTGCATACGCGTTTAATGAAAATTACTCCCAAATAAGCGTTTGGATTTGAGTATTTGGTGTTGTGAGCCTAACAAACCCCAATAAGCCCATTCATTTGGGTTGTGGGTCGTCTCTTCTTCTAACCCTTCAATATACTTCTTGGAGGCGGCCCCACCCCCGCGCAACGTGTTAAACCCTTGTGCCGTGACCGAGGTTCGAATCTGGGCAGCGGGGTGAGCTCCCTTCTGTCAGCTCCAGCTCCTCGTGCGGGGACATGAGAGGAGCCTCCCATAGGATGGTAAAACATCCTGCCGTCTCTTGGGAACGTCCTTGCAGATAGCCAATTTTCTCACGCCAGAAGCGATTGCAGTTTCTCAAGTCGCTCCAGACAGGAGATAGATATATCGATAGATGATACATAGATGATAGATAGACAGACAGACAGACAGACAGACAGACAGACATCCTATGTTGTATGTTAGTATGGGATATATATTTAAGAGGAAAAGGAATCTCAGATAGAAAGTTTTGGGGATTTATGTCTATAATGCTTGTGGTGTGGTCTCCTCTGGAGATTTTTAGGCAGAGGCCAGGTGGCCATCTGTCGGAGTTGCTTTGATTGTGTGTTCCTGCATGGCACAAGGGAGTTCATCTGGACGGTCCTGGGGGTCTCTTCTGATTCTATGCTGTATGTTAGCATGAGATTTATTCCTGTGTGGAGCTTATTGCTGAGTAGACGTACCCTCACTAGCTGGTGGGCGTCTTTCCAAAAGCATAAATTCTGTCGAAGTCAAGGGAGACCTTAGCCGTGGTTTTCACAACAAGTCTTCAATTCTTATTTTTTATGGGAAATGTCCGGCGGCTCTCGATCCCAGTAGGATGTTTGTTTTGAGGGGGGGGGGCACTGATCCCATTTCATTCCCAACCCCCCTTTCACCATGAAGTACTCCTAGTGGGACCCTGTCCTGGTTTACCAGGCAGCCCTAACCTTCTGCAGCAAGAACGCGCCTGCCTCGCATCCCTTCACCACCTACGACTGAAAAGTGGTTGGACTTTCGATTTGTAAGTGTGGAAAATGAATCACAAACCGGTGAAGGGCCGGTGGGTGAACACAGAAAATAGAATGAAATGAAACAGATATTAAAATTAAACAACTAGTGAGGTTGTTGTGTGGCTGTCTATGGCGACCCTAAGGTGAATCTAGAGGAGGGGGTTTGGCAAGATTTTTTCGAAGAGGAGTTTCCTTTGCCTTCGAGAATGAGAAAGTGTCAAAACATCTGGGTGTCCCCTGGGCAACATCCTTGCAGACGGCCAATTCTCTCACACCAGAAGCGACTTGCAGTTTCTCAAGTCGCTTCTGACACGACAAACACACACACACACACACACAAACTCAATGGACTGAGAGCTGAAGCAGATATTCCAAAGCTCAAACCACACCTTCCTTGCTCTCTGTACTGCCTTATGGCCGTTTCATAGTACAGTCTAACGGCATTTAAACTGCATTATAAAACTGCTATGTGTCAATTTTCGGCATAAAAGGGGCCTAA